GAGCAGTTGACTTTCAAGCATCTTATTTCTCAAAGGTATGATGAAGCAATGCACCACAAGCCTCCAACGGTTTTCTTAAGATTCGCAGAAGCTGGTGAAGCATTTCTTATGTAATTATTACTATGCTTAAGAAACATAGAAACAGAGCAAGCCAAAAAGGGGCCTCCCAGGTCATCTAATCTGACCCCCGGCTCCAGCCGGCTCCGCTCACAACATGCCCACCATGTGCTTGTCCAGACTATCTTTGATAGAAGTGAAGGGGAACACAGGTGAGAAACAACAGAAGAAGAAAGACAGTCAAAAGGCAAGTAATTTGTTCTAGGATGACATTATAGTTACAACTTAGCCAGGTTTACTAGCCAGTATAATTTGTGATAACCACCACTACTCTTCCCTGAGTCCTCCGACAGATGCAGAGAATTTGAGAGAAAGGCTGGGTCCTTCTGTTATTTGCAGGAAAGACTCCTGCTATTTATCTTCTCTAAATTTCAGTATGAATGTATCCAAGGAAAGGACTTGTGTGCAACTGGGTCGGTGAACCTGTGGATCCCTAAATATACTGGTAAGCAGAGCAGTTGAAGTCAGTGGCAGCGGCAAAGCTAAGATAACGAAGAGTTGTAGGGGGTTCTTGCCAAGTGTCTCTATTAGCCAATCCCTATAACTTGTGATGGGTTTGAATTACACAGCAATCTGTTGTGATGAATAAAGTCTAGAACAAGCATGGAATTACTGTCAGTTCAGATAATGTGACATCCTTTGGTGGCTAGTTACCCATGATGGGTTGTTATATTGTGAGAATCCAGTCAAGAGCCTATTAGCAAAACTGTCAAGGGACAGTTTATACGAGCACTTATACATTTATCTTAAAGTTAGCAATTAAAATTGGTTAGGGGAAATGGACTACTTGTTACATTGCTAAGGCTGGCCATTGTAGTTGCAAGTTTAGGAACACTTAGTAGTATCAAAACTTGAGACAGTTTTCAAAAGATGATGCTTTCTGTGTGGTCTTACACAGGGGTGGAATTTGGCCACAATAAGTGAACAACAAACATCTAGTGAAATCCTATTTCTTTGATCTCTGTACATTGACAAAATATCGAACTGTTTATACCTGTAATTGTTCTTCTTATTAACGGAAGCGTATCACTGAAACACACAATCCTTTTAAAAAATGGATGTTAGTCACAATAATACAAGAATATATACTTTTTGGCAAGGTGCAACAAGGAGACCATTTTAACATGCACTTGCTACTCTAAGTTTAAAGTAAATCCTGTCAGAACTCCATTGCTGCTTCTACCTCAAATATAGCACATAGATATTAAGACCTGCATATCAAAAATCAGTTAATACTAGCATTTTTTTAAATTCCAACTCTGAAATATAGGAATGGAGCCTGGTATTTGGTGCTTTGATCTTCTTACCCACCAATCGCATTAGCACTGTGATTTTTACTTTATCCATGCATTCATACTTGGTGTTTTCCTCTATGCTAATAGCATTTCTCCTCACCTACTAAACATACCTTACCTAAATTAAATAATTTTTCCAAGAGTAGCCACCTTGAAACATAATCCACGCGCTGATATAAGGAATACCTACACTGCTATCTTAAATCAGAGCTAAAGACCATGAAAATTAATATTTGGTCTTTAACTCTACAACTGAATATTTATTTATTTAGAAAATTTCTAGGCCGCCCCATTCGCCGAAGCCTCGGGGCGGCTTAGAATCTTTAGATTCTGATAAAATGGCAGAACTCCACAGACAACATAAAAAATGTAGTATTCCTTGACAGAAAGCATGACCCAAATTTAAATACTAGTTTGCCTTCCATTTTTTCCAGTGTTTACTTGTAAAAAGCCACTTAATTGGTTGCTTGTCATATAAGAATCCTCTCCAGACAACTGGGCAGTCAAACTGGTGTCACCTCCTTTTAGTCTACAACTGGCTAATAATGATATGCTTATCTATGCACTAGTAATTTAACGAACATTTCCATAATTACATTAATTACCAATAGCATAGGGTAATCACCATAACTTGGTCTCTACTGCACAGATTGTGTAGTCCATTTTAAAACTACATGGCTAAAAACTGAAATTTGAAAAACAAGACTTCTTGGTCTTCTTATGCTATCAGAAACTGGTAAGTGCAGTTTATTCCTGCACTCTCTCCTGTCAGCTAATTCTTGTTTCCTGTAGCAGATGTCTGGCATTTCACTTTGTTTCTGAAAGTGTTCTGTGTTCTTTACGCTTAAGATGAAAAAAAAAATTGCACACACTTTTGAACATGGGTAGAGTCTCTCTGTTGAGTTTGCCATGAGAATAATCACAAATCTTTTAGTCTACAGCTACAGAAGTGTCATTTATTCTGTAAAAGATAAAAGATCTGAATAACACAGCTTAAGCAATACATTGAAGACTATATTCAACTACCTTACCTTAACCCATTTTTCCCCAAGAGTACCTGTTAATTTGACAGAAACACTAATGTGATCCAAATGGATGACCCATACACCCTACACAATGCCAGTTTCTCCTGATAGTTTTCTTTATATTCTCCTGCTACAGAGGTAAAGGGATTTTTTTTCTGGGAAGGAGACTGGCAGAGGGGGGCAGGCTAGCAACACAGAATTCAAATTCCAGTCTTCTGATTCAAAGTGAACCCTAAATACCTTTCACCCTTTGATGTGGTAGTATTCCCAGAAAGAAGTATAAAATTAGACCAGTTAGTATTAGCAAGTGAGAAAGGCTTAAGTGTCACCAGATTTGTACAGGATTCTCTGGTCTGTAATACACCACTGTAATATTCATAGTTGTGAAGAGGAACACACCTGCCTAGAAGTATAACAAGTTAATGGGCATGTTTGTACATCATGCTGAACCACCTTAAGAATAAGCCATTATGGGCTGCTTGTTTTATAACCTACCTGCATGCAACAGTTTAGCATGGCTGCTTTCCTCCTCAATAATCCTGTCTGCTCCCAGCAAACGTCTTGGTTCTCTGTGGCATAATTCCTCTCAGATCCTTGTATTCCTGATGGGTGAGAGTGCTACAGAACCCCCTTGTTTGCTACATAGCTGTCAAATCTACACACGGAAAGCACGAAATTACAAAGGCTTGTACTCTGTATGGACAAAAACATCCCCCTCCTCTAATGCTACCTCCTTCTGCACATTTTAACATTGACAGCCCCCCTTTTTGTCCTCCATTACAATTTACACAAACAGGGGTGGGGGTGCATGCCCTCACAATTTATGGAAATAGGATCTGTTTTTATTCAGTTATGTTGACCTTTCAAATTTGTACAAATGGTTTACTCCTTTTTCCTCCCCATCCTTCAGTCTTTCACAAGTGCACACATTTGCAGAACCACAGTTGACATTCTTAAGTTGTACCAGTATGACAGCAGGTAGTACAGGAGGCAGTATGCAAACAACTGATATGTCTTCTACACATCTAGAAATGCCACTTGTCAGATTCCCTCTCATATAAAAGAATGAAATACCAGCTGTCAAGTTCCTCCTATACTTCAGGGCTTGCCTTGGCAGCAAATTCATAAAGGGGCAGCTGAACAAGATAGGAACCCTTGCTGGGGGTGTAATTTCTGTGAGCCTGTAGGATATTTATTTCTTATTGGCCAATTTACCACTCATGAAGCATGAGAATAAAAAAAGGAACATATGCCTTGCTACAGTTCTGCAAATTCATCCATTTTAAACACATAAAAAGGATAAAAACAATAAATTGAATCCAATTGTATAATTAAGAATCACAGTATATTAGTAGTTGCAAATGTGATAGGGACATTTCTAAGTGTCAATGCAGCATTGGTGAATGGGTGGGCATCAACAACAGTTAAAAAACAGTAGATGGTGATGGTACTAGCATGATTGCAAAGAATAGCTGTCAGGGTTTTTCACTGCTCTTTCACTGCCAGGCAACTGTCACTGTTTTTGACAACCCACACTGAAGCAATTTTACCAGGTTTGGATGTCATACTACCCAAGAATAAACTACCTTAAACAATTCTATTATCAGCCAACAATTCTCAAGGTAGCTTGCTTGCGCAAAAAAACAAAAAAACTGGGTTTGGACATCATGTTAAGCAACCCTGCAACCATCTATGATGAGAGCTTATTATGGCCTAATGAAGCACCATGAACCAGAGTTCACAGTTTGGAACATACATATATTAGGCCAGATTAATTTTAAAAGGCTCCTAGAAAGGATATCAATGCCCTTGTTTAAGACAGCTCTATGAGCTTCCAATGAGGGAAGTCATTTTGGGACCACTCCCCACATATTTTCCTTTCTTTCAGTTATTAGTGCCTATAGTTTTGCAATCCACTCACCCATTACTTTAAAAAATTTGAGTAGTTTCCTGTAAAGAAAAAACTTAAAGAGAACATTCCCATATTTTTCACTGCAAAACACCACCACAGAATTCTGTTTCCTAATCACCCAATTTCATTTGGTCTGAAAGGCACAGAAAGATCACAGAAAGTCAGGTTGTAAAGTTTAGACAGGACTGATGTGGGCCTACTTAAGAAAAGAAGGGCACAAGCTCAGTGGCAGAGCATAGGCTTTTCAAGCACAATGTCTCAAGTTCAATCCCCAGCATTTCCAGGTAAGGCAGAACAACTTCTGCCTGACCTCCTACCGCTTCCGCTCAGTGACAACAATAATGGGCTAAACAGACCAATGGTCTGCCTAAGTATAACACAGCTGCCTATTTTCCTATGGAAGTTGAACTCTACAGGATCCACATAACACACTAACATTTGATTTTTCTGATCTGAAAAATACTCTTATCTGCAGCTGTTTTCCATCTCGAGCCTCTTTTATATCTTTCAAAAAGCAAAAAAATGCGGTAATGATGAAGAGTAGTCAGAAGTGATTGACCCAAAATATGTGCAAAACGGAAGTATTTAGCAGCAATGAAATCTTCAGACAAATTTTAAAAATAACAATTTTAACTCATTCAAATGCTGAACACTTAATAGTAAGTCATAGATTTCAAACGTAAATTTATTCAACGCCATATCAAACACGGAACTCATCCTCTCTACTGTACACATGATCATGGTTTGGTCAGCCTCTTGAAAAGTTGTAGTGGAATCCCCTGTTGGGTAGCCATCACTAACCCCAGCAGTGAAAGTTATTCTTATCACCAGTACTAGAGAAAATGGTATTTTTATAACACCACATAAACCATACCTTAATCACAACTCAAGTCTAAAGGAGTTTAATAGATTTAAGCAATATTTCAAGGAGCAATCATGAAGATGAACTTCTTATTTTTACACGCTGCTGAAGAACTGAACAACATTAACGAAGCCGAGACATACACTTGGAAAATAATACAGCACTAGCAATAGGAGCAAACGCGCTTCCCCTCACAAAGTCCCAAACAGGGGCCTCCGTTGGCGTCAAATGCTCGCCGGGGCCCAGCTAGACCTCACCCAGTCACCGGCTACCGATTCCGGGTCCGAGAATCTTGTAGCCTATCAGACGGAGCCACAGCAGCACGGCAGCCGCCACACCCGACCTAGCTCTAGCGGTGCCGGCTTCTTCGCACAGAGTAAGGGGTAAAGATGTATGAGGCAAAACGACACGTAGGACACCATATATATCTCCCTTCGCTGCACCAATAAGTACAGCCACCCATTGTGCTCTATGCCCACCACAGGAAGACGGACAGGGAGACAGTCCTAAGTCTCCCCTCCGTTCAACTCACCAGAATGAAGAAGAGGCGGTAGCCGGCCTCGGGGAAAATGGCGGCGATTCTCATGGTCGAGGCCGGTGGTGCTAGTGCTGGTGGTGTTGCAAAAAGAAGAGCGAAAGGGGGCGGGCAACGACTTATTGATCGCCTCCCCCCCCCCCAGCCTCCGAAGAAATTGCACGACGGGAGACAAGTTCCACCGACAGCAGAAAAGGAGGCGGGGGAGGAGGCCGACCTTACTTACACCCGTGCCACCCCGCCCCCTCGCAGCAAACCTATGTAAACACACTTCCGTGTTCTAAAAGCACCCGCAAGGCACTCTGGGAAAGGTAGTTTCCTTCCAAAGAGAAAACGGGAATTTGCAAAAGCCCCCTTTTGACTGGGATCTCTGGGAAACGTAAGCAAGTGACGATGATGGAGGAAGGCATCTTGCTGTGCTTCCCGTCATGCACTAGGAATAGGGAGTGGGGACAGTGGGAAGGTGTTCCTTCGCTTGTTTGAAGCCCCTCATAAAGGAGGGGCTCCGCTGCGGTCAAGTTTCTGTGAGGGACGGGAAAGGCGGTCACGGTAAGTAATAGAGCAGGCGAGCGAACGTTCTTAGGAAAAAGAAAGGTGATGGGGAAGCTACGTGGAGTTTCTCTTCACATTATTCAACCTAGTTTAGGAGCTGTCACTCCTGAGAGCAATAAATCTGGACTCAGTCTCTGAACATTAACTTTCTTCTTTAGAAACCTGAAAAGGCGGTCTGTCTCTAGCTCCTCATACCCTTCTTTCAAGAAGGCCTTTCAAGCAGAATTTTGTCCAGCGGCAACCCTTCATGATAGACGTGTCCCCTTTGGTTTTACAGTTCCCACCACCATAACTTTTTAATTGGCTTTGTCAAGAATGTCCATCCTTCTTGCAATGGAAATTGTCTTTACTCAGGGCCAAAGCAATAAATTTTTCAATATGTTTAGCAGCTTTGTCTTTAGCTCAGTTTTATTCTGAAGTTTGCAAAGGAGGCCTGATCTGGATTGGGACACAAGGGTTTCAAAGATCTGAATCAGGCTCCCTGCACATACCCTAGAATAAAAATGAGGAAAAAGTCTTAGCTGCTAGACCCAAATAGAACTTAAACCCCCAGTCTCCAGCTGGCCAAGCTGTAGCCTAACCTCTCCCTTTTACTTCCCTGTGGCCTAAAGCCCAGTAATATGACTCAAGTGATGTAGCTGGGTGGGAAGAGAAGCCTCTCTCGGGTTGTCCGATATTCATGTACAAAGCGTGGGTACAACTGAAAGATGTTTATTACTATAAATAGTTTGCCTTCTCATTATGTGCCTGAATTACAGCAGCTTTAGTTTCATCACTTTTGCTTCCAAAGAAAGTTCTGACTTAATTTGCTCTTGGACCCACTTTTTTACTGCCCATCCGGGGTATTCACAAAGCTGTCCTGCAGTACCATATTTTCATCATGTTTGTTTTCTTCCTGTCAGCTTGCTTCACTATCCATCTTTCATATCCACATATGGTGATTGGGAATACAATAGTGTGAATTATTTTGTATTTGGTCTCCAGGAGGATGCCCTTGTACGTAATCTTTTCTAGTTTCTTCATTGCTGCCCTTTCAAGTCTTAGTCTTCTCATTTCTTAGCTGTATTCTCCCCTGGTCCTTGAATTGATGCTTGAGTTATGGTATGAAACATCTTATGCAATTTCTTCATTCTTGACACTAAAGTTCTATACTTCCTCTGCAGTAGTTATTTTTTGCTTTTTAATGTTCAGCTGCAGCTCTGCTTATGAACTTTCTTCTTGCACTTTCATCAGGGGTCATTTGAATTTGCTGATGTTTCCTACCCGTAATATGGTATCAACTTCCTATCTTGAATTCTTGATGCATCATCCACCAATTTTTGCCCTTATGATAAGTTCTGTGAACAGACTGAGCCTATAGGAAGATAAAATATACCTTTCTCTAATGCCTTTGCCTATGGAAAGCATTCTATTTCTCCATATTTTATTCTAATGGTAGGTTCTTGTCCATGATGCAGGTGATCAAGTGCTTTGGCACATGTATGTCTTTCAGGACTATCCATAGCTTCATGCGATCTACAGTCAAAGGCTTTGTTGTAGTCTACAAAGCTTAGACTTAACTTTTTTTGAAATTCTTTAGTAGCCAACATAAATTGGTACCTCGGTTCACGAACTTAATTCATTCCACGATTCTGGTTACGTACCGAATTGGTCATGAACTGAGTCAAATTTCTCCATAAGGTTCAATGTAAATATGAAACAAATTACGGTACAGTACAGTATGAAGAGAGAGAACACTAACCTTGCATGAGGCGACTTCTGGCATGAAGGACAGGAAGGTGGGTGGGGAGGAGGCTATTGTTTGGAGGAGAGTCTGCGACCATGATGTTGACTAGAGGAAGTCATGACCACATGTCAGAGTGGGGAAGATGGCTCCATTCGTGTTCGTGGGAACACGGTCGTGGCCATCTTCCCCACATGAACATGATTGCAGCCATCTTCCCTGCTCGAACACACTCTGACATGTGGTCGTGGTGCGGGAGTTTGCAAACGGAAGCAAAATTTTGCTGAACTTTCTGTTCGCAAACTGAATTGTTCCTTTTCAGCATCCAGCTTGAAGATCAGGTAGTTTTGCTTCATATAGGGTAAAAGTCTTCATTGCAGCACCCTGAGCATCTCTTAGTATAGGAAAATAGTGCAATAGTCCTATATTGATTGTACCCTTTGGATCTCCTTTCTTGGGGAGTGAAATGCATGTTGAATGCTTCCATGTGGTAGGCCATTATTTCATTTTCCATTTTTATTGTCATATTCTTGTTAGGATTTGGCAGAGGCCCTTCTCCGGGAATCCTCCATGAAGGATATTAGGAGGGTGAGTACCTGGAAGAGGGCTTTCTCTGCGATGACGCCCCACTTATGGAATGCGCTCCCCAGAGAGGTCTGCCTGGCACCGTCATTATTTGTTTTTTGGCACCAGGCCAAGACCTTTTTATTTAACTGATATTTTAATAGCTGTTAATTTTATTTATTGGTTTTAATCATTATACCAGGATGTTTCCAGTTTTTACATATATTTGTATAGTTATTTATTTACTTATTGGAAGCCGCCCCGAGGGTTATGCGAAGGGGGCAGCATACAAGATTTCCAAATAAATAAATAAATAAATAAATCCATCTCTGACACATGGAATAGTTCTATTGGTACCCTTTCTACTCCGTGTGACTGGCCTTTTTGGAACTAAGGGTGTTCTTTCTTCCTTTTTCTTTGCAACAACATAACCCTGTGAAATATGTCACACTGAGATCTGACAGCTATCCTTAATGTATCCATTTTTCTTCAAAGTTGTGTGTTGATTTAAACTGGGCTGTCCCTTTCATCCTTTTTACCATACTAGTTTAGTCAGTATGCCTGTTAAAAGTAGCATAGCAACTAATAATATAAATCTCAAATTTAGACACTTAACAATTAAAATAGTGGGAAAATCAAAAGGTTTTCACCTGGTGCCAAAAGGAAAAAAGTGTTGGTGCCAGGCAAACCTCTCTGGGGAGGTTCATGGTGGTATATCTGCAGTTATCCCTTTTTATTGTCATAAAAATCTTGTGAAGTAAGCTCAGTTGCAGAGACACTAACTTAAGGCAATCCAACAACAGGGCTGCTCCCCTGCAACCCCCACCCCCCGGCCACACACCCTATAGCAGTGATGGCGAACCTTTTAGAGGCCGAGTGCCCAAACTGCAATTCAGAATCCACTTATTTATTGCAAAGTGCCAACACTGCAATAAAACCTGAATTTGCTGACCACCAGCACAAGGGGGCAATGTTTCACTGACCACCAGCTTTTGGCCGGCCCCGAAAAAGGCATCTGAGTGTATTTCCTAACTGAGCGTAATTCCTGCCTTTCCTACCTTTCTGTTAAAATTACAATGGGTTGTGCAGACTCGAACCGGCAACCTTTCGATCAACCAGCATAGCGGTTTTAACCGTTGCACCACTTGCATCCTGCTAAAATCACAGTCCATGCAAATCCCTGGCAGCTCACTGATGGGCCATGCAAAAGCTCGGTGAGTTGCGGCTAATGAGTGACATTGTTGCCTTGCTTTTGGCTCTGGCCTCTTGGCAGAGCAGTAGAAAGCACAAGCACAGGGAGAGAGTGCTGAGTGGCCAGGGGACTAGCAAAGGCAAGGTAGGAGCTGGGCAGAGGAGCAGAGGGCCAGGAGCAGCGGAGCGGAAGGGGGGGCGGGGCCAGAGAGGCCAGAGGGTCCAGGAGGAAGCAGACAGGCGGGGCCACCGGCTTGAGGGACTGATAAGGCCACGCTCAGCCGTTGGCGTCGTCCCTTGTCTGTGTCCCTTAGCTGTGGTCCAGGCTGTCCAGGGACTCCCTTCCCTGGGATGCAGAGGGTTTTTTTTTTTCTTGATTGCTTTGTTTTCCTTCCTTCCTTTGTTTCTGTTTGATGCTGTGCTGTGCTTTGCTTTGTTTTTCCTCCAATTTAAATTTAAGTTTATTTTAAAAGTTTATTTTATCCTTGTGTGTGTGCGCGAATGGGTTTTTGTCTGGGAGAACTGGGCGAGTGAAAGGAACCACAGGACAGACAAGGTAGGGGACCAAGGTAAGGTTTCAAAAGGGATCCCAATGGCAGACTAGGAGATGGCCTTGGCAAAAGTCACCGGTGTTGCTGTCTGCTGCGAGAGCTGCGACCTGTTCGCCCTTCTCCCCCAGGAGAGGCAGGGTTACCTCGGTGCAAGCTGGTGACCCTGCTAGAGGAGGAGGTGAGGTGCCTGAGGGCCGAGAGAGCTCTCGAGGCCCCGCCGGAGCAGCCCCCCTCTGGACAGAGGGTTGATGGAGAGGCCATGGGAGGAGCAGCTGGGGAGACATGGAGGCATGTCATCCACAGGAGGAGGAGGCCAGCACGGCCTCCTCCTTCTCCTGGCACCAATTTGGAGCTGAGAAACAGGTTCTCTCCACTTGGGGAGGCTGGGGCTGATGAGGCCTCGGGGGACCAGCAGGACCCCCAGCCTGGGACGACAAGCAACAAAGGGGCTGCTGCAGGAGAGGTGAGGGCCAGGGCACAGCCCACCACCACCAGGAAGACATGGCGGCGGGTGATAGTTGTTGGGGACTCCCTGCTGAGGGGCACTGAGGCGGCGGTGTGCCGCCCCAACCTGGAGACAAGGGAGGTTTGCTGCCTGCCGGGCGCATGCATCCAGCATATGAAGGACAGAGTGGAGGGTCTTGTTCACTCCGGGGGTCACCAGCCACTCCTGGTGATCCATGTGGGCACAAATGACATGGCCAGGGACTTTGAGGCCTTGGGGAAGAAATTCAGGGAGCTAAGGGCCCAACTGGCCTTCTCGTCAATCTTACTGGTCTGGGGATTTGGGCCAGGAAGGGACAGGAGGGTCTCCAAGGTGAATGACTGGCTTAGGGTGTGGTGCCAGAAGGAACACTTTGGGTTCCTCGACCACGGCACTTGGTTTCTTGCCAATGGACTTCTGACAAGGGAAGGGTTACATGTCACGAGGATGGGGAAAAGGTCCTTTGGAGATGCTCTAGCAAGCTTCGTCCGGAAGACTTTAAACTGAGCCAGGGGGGTGGGTTCAGGCCCCCCAGAAACGTGTCTGCACTGGACAAGTGTGGGGAGAGGATCAGGACTCTGGGAGCAGGGTTTTAGAGATACTGCAGGGACTGACAGGACTCCTACAGAGAGGGGCCAGTATCAGGGAGGATGGGAGGAAGGAGGAGGCTGGGAACTCCAAGGAAAGGAAGTGGTGGGAAGGAGTTGAGGTACATGTACACCCATGCTAGGAGCATGGGTAATAAGCAGGAAGAGCTTTGAAGCTCTCCTGGGAATAGGAGGGTATGATCTGGTGGGAATCACAGAAACTTGGTGGGATGAAAGGCAAGTCTGGAATGTGAACATAGAAGGGTATCACCTTTTTAGAAAGGACAGGAAGGGAAAGAGGGCTGGGGGCGTGGCTTTATATGTCAGGGAAGGGATAGGATGCAGTGAGATAGAATGCAGCACAGATGGGGATTCAGTAGAGGCAGTCTGGGTGAAACTTAGGGGTTTTGACAGGGAAAGAGACCTGACAGTGGGGGTATGTTATCACCCTCCAGGTCAACTTGAGACCCTGGATGATGTCCTGACAGGCCAGATTCTAAGGTTATACCAGGGGAGAGACACAGTAATTATGGGAGATTTCAATCTCCCGGATATTAGTTGGGAGACTCACTTGGTGGTGACAGCCAGGTCATGTCACTTCTTAGAAGCTATAGAGGGAGGGTTTTTCACACAGAGGATCCGAGAGGCGACGAGGGGGGGAAACATCCTTGACTTGGTCTTGACCAATAGGGAGGAGCTGACAGATGAAGTACAGATTAGGAGAGCTCTGGATGCGAGCGATCACTCCATCCTTTGCTTTGAGATAAGGGGACTGGGGACGTGCAGCAGGTCGAGCACTAGAAGCTGGGACTTCAAGAGGGCCAAGCTTTGGCCAACTGAAGGCCAGACTGGGGAAAGTCTGCTGGGATAGGATACTGGAAGGTAAGCGAGTTGAGGAGGGCTGGATGGCACTCAAAAGGGAGGTTTTGGAGGTGCAAGCCTTGATGTTACCTCTAGTTAGTAAGATGGGGAGGCGGAGGAGAGTGCTGCCATGGATGTGAAAGGAGGCGATTAGTGGGATTAGACGAAAGAGGAACCTCCATAAGAAATGTGTACTGGGGCAAATAGACAAAAGGGTATACTGGGAAGAGGAGGCCCGTTGCAGAAGGATTCTTCGCAAGGCTAAGGCTGATTACAAGCTGAGACTTGCCAAGAATATCCAGAGCAACAAAAAGGGCTTCTTTCAGTGACTGATATGAGGGAACAGGCACAGATGCTAAATGACTATTTTTTCCTCTGTGTTCTCCCCAGAGCAGGATGGGGGTTATCCGCATAGGAAATTAGATGAGGCTGGGGGACTTCGGGGCACAGATTAGAGTCACCCCCCTTGAAGTCGAGGGGCTCCTCAGGGCATTGGACATTACAAAGGTGCCAGGCCCTGACGGGTTACACCTGAGCGTACTTAGAGAGTTGGCAGGGGTTCTGTCATTCCCGCTGGCCTTCATTTTTGAGGCCTTGTGGAGAACGGGTGAAGTTCCAGAGGACTGGAGGGTGGCATCAGTGGTCCCAATTTTCAAAAAGGGTAGTAGAAGGGACATGGGGAATTACAGACCTGTTAGCATTACGTCCATTGTAGGAAAAACAATGGAAAGGCTCATAACAGAGAGAGATCTAGTGATGCTAGATAGGGAAGGGAGACTGACAGTCACACAATACGGCTTCCGCAAAAACAGGTCCTGCCAGACAAACCTTGTGGAATTCTATGACAAGGTTTTGTGATGGCTAGATGGAGGGGATGCAGTGGATGTGGTATACCTGGATTTCAGCAAGGCCTTTGACAAAGTGCCCCAAGATATCCTGGTTGAGAAGCTGAGGAGTTTTGGGATACACCAAAGCACTGTCCGGTGGATTAGGGCATGGTTGACTGACCGAAAGTAGAGGGTAACCATTAGTGGGGAATCATCGGGATGGCCAGTGACAAGTGGGGTCCCCCAGGGCTCTGTCCTGGGGCCAATCCTGTTGAATCTTTTCAGTCTGCTGATCAAATTCGCAGACGACACTAAAACTGGAGCAGTGGCCACAACTGAGGAGCAGGTACTTCAGATGCAAAAGGATCTGGACAGACTATGGAAGTGGGCAGGAGACAACAGGATGGCGTTCAATGTGGATAAGTGCAAGGTCGTGCACTTGGGGCATAGGAATAGGTGTCATAAGTACAGGTTAGGTGACAAGTGACTGGAGAGCAGCACTTGTGAAAGGGACCTCGGAGTA